ATGAACCCTACCTCCAAAGATTCTAATTTAATTAATCATAGCGTGGGAAGGGGGGCAGGCACCGACACTTAAAAAATCTCCCCAGGAGATTCTAATGTACAGTCAGAGTTGAGAGGTGAGAAAAAAATGGGATGGGACACTCAGGAGCTCCAGCAGTAACAAAGGACACTTTTGTCTAGGTCCTGTGACATTCATCCATTGCTTATCTTGGGCCCTATGTCTTGGCTGGTCCCAGGCCTGAGCTCTGCCTTTTGGGAAGGAGAAGGCTGAATCTGGAGTATGGGCAACTCTCTCACAGCCCACGGAGTGGTGATAAGGCCCAAGGACTCAAGTTGCCTAGTAGTGGTATAAAGACAGAGTGTCCAACATGAGAGTGGGGTTGGGAACACTGGCAGGCTGAGGCCTTACCTCCTTTAGTCTAGATGCCCGTTGTCTTCTCTCTTTCTTCTAGCTCTCTTTTCTCTCACCTCTGTACTACTAGGGGACAATCTGAATTGTACCTTGAAGACTGTGAGTACAAATTTCAACTAGTCTTAATAAAAGTAGCCTTCTTTAATGATAACTTTCATACAGCCACTTTCAAAGCCAGCAAAAGCCTGATCAAATCCACACAGTAATCACAGAGATAGGCAGGGAAGTTGTTAGTCCTCACTTTATAGATTTGGATACCAAAGCTTTGGAGAATGAAACAAGTTGCCTCAGATGACATAGGCAGCAAGCAGGGAAGCTGGCTTGATTTGAAAAAGCTTTTTTCCACTTAGTTATCATCTTTGGGAATTGTTGGATTTTCAAGGGGCAGATGTTATTGCCTTTTTCTCCTACCCGTGAGTATTTCTCAAGAACAGAAACCTTGCTTTTTTTCCTTGTTCTATCCTTCTTGGCACAGAAAAATGTTCTGTGCTGAGAGGATCTCTTGTACGTGGACTGTGTAGACACAGATACTGTCACTGACTTTTGAAACCATGTGCTGCTGCTCAGCCATTCCTTCTTTGACGGTCCCTCCAGGGGACCTGTGGGTATGGCTCTGATACTTGACTCTGGAGCTTTCTAGTATGTCCTCTCTCCTGACTCATAGCTTGGATTGGCTGGGCCCCTCCCTAGGGAGAGAGTCTCGGTGTAATCCAGTTTGTACCAGCTGAGTGCTATTTACTGACCTATCCTGGCACGTCACCCTAACTTGGGCCTGAGCATGCACAGCTTGCAGAGTATAGCAGTTGCAACTAATGCCAGCCATTTCCTGGAATCTGCACATCTGGACACAGAGGTAGGGCCACAGACATTCCTACCTCACTAACTCAGCCTGCCCCATGTCACTCTCTCTGCTGGTCACATAAGCCAATCCTTAGTCTGGGCTGACTGGGCCCTAGCCCCAGGTGAATTGACACTAGTGGGCTTGGGGGTGGGAGTCAGGTCACTCCTGGCCTCAGCCTGGGCAGGCTGGGATGAGTGGGAGGGACAAAGGCAAAGCACCTCAGTTCAGCCCTTAATCACCAAGACATATGTCCCTGACTGCTCCATCTGGGAGGGAGCCTCGGGGCCTCCCAGCCCTGTATGAGATGGTGTATTGTCAGTATCCCTGACATCCTGTTTGGTAATAATCCATTACATTCTCTAGATTCCTGCTAAGGAATGTCTTTGCTTCTTTGTCTTTTGGAGCAATTGCAGCCTCTTTGAAACTTTTACCTCCTCCAAGCCGTTTGGCTCCAATTCTGGCTATGGTTTGGGTGCAGCCATGGTCCAGACCCAGAAGGGAGTGCTAGCTGGACCTCTTTCTCCAGTTTTCTTTGAAAACAGGGACCCTTTAGAGTCTGAGTTGGCAGGGAACACATTTATTGAGTGCTTGGTATTATGTGCCAGGGGCTTTTAGTTTCTCCTATATTTATATAGTGCTCTTAGTAGCTATGAGAAGGGGATGCCATGGCCCCCATTTTACAGAGGAGGAAACGGAGACAGAGAAAGGTTATACAACTTGCCATAGTCAAAGAGCTAGTGACTGACAGCATCAGGATTTGAACCCAGGCTTGTGACTCCACTAGATCAAGGAACAGAAACAAAGTTTGGGGGCCTAGAGTTGATTCCTTTGAGTCCAAGCCCCTTGCTTGGCTGGCATCAGAGAGAAGGTATCATCATGCATGGAAAAGAGCAGCGAACATGGAGTTAAAAGATCAGTGTTGTAGTCTCAGCTATGACAATTCTGTATGACTTTGGAAGAGTCTTCCCAGCCTCAGTGTGTTCCATGTTGTAGCTTTTAAAAACTCTTGATGTGGAGAGTCATAGACCAATTAAGGCAGCCTTCTGGGGATGGGGCCCTGGTATTTTTTTAAACACTTCCTAACTGATTCTAATGTGCATCCAGGGGTGAGAATCACTGAGCAGTGCTATTTAAACCCAAACTTTAATGTGTATACAAATTGCCCAAGGATCTTATTAAATGTAGATTCTGATTCCTTGGATCTGGGGTGGGGCTGGGATTTTGTGTTTCTAAAAAGCTTCTAGGTGATGTTGATGTTGCTAGTCTGGGACTACATTTTGAGTAGCAAGGGCTAGAGGGGTCTAGGTAGGAACGAAAGAGCTTGGCACCCACATGAGTAAGCTAGTCCCCTTCCTGCCAGCCCCCAGCTAGGGCCACTGCTTAGTATCAGGGAAGCAGGCAGCTCTCATTCTCCCATGGGCTCTGTGGCTTGGGCAGATGTATAAGCTTTAGGACTTCATTCCTGCCTCCTTCAGGCCGGGGAGGGAGAATGAGTATAAGGGAGGGAGGTGCTTTTCTCTTTCCTTCTCCTCCATTAGCCAAGGATGACTGAGAGCTGCAGTGGGATTTCAAGGGTGTATTCCTGGTGTGCCAGCCTGTCCCTAGGGATTTGCTCCTCTGCCTGGAGTGGCCATGCTTGTGACCCTTTAGTGGTCCCTGTTTCCTTTGTGCCCACCTCTCTGGAAATCCTGACCTGATTTATCCTCTGGCACCTCCCTTTTGGCCTAATGACAGGAAAGCAGAGCTAGCTGTCAGGAGGGGCACTGAGATAGGGGTAGGGTCTCATCTTGGGGGTGTGGCAGGAACAGGGAACAGGGAAGTGGTTGTGGTAGCGAGCTCAGCTGTCCTAGCAGTGAAACGATGTCCCTCAAATGCTCCCTGGGCTGGTGTGCATCCCTTCGGGCTGATCTTATCACACCAACCAGACCACCACCGGCATAGAGAACTGGATCTTTTCTCAGACTTGCATTGCCCCCTGCCAGACAGACAGAGGTACTGCTAACAGGACTCTGTCAGATACTTTCCAGGGCCCCTCAGAGGTCCTGGTGATTCCTAGATCTCTCTCCTGGGTTAAGAAGTTGCAGTAACATGGAACACACACACACACACTCAGGTACACACACAGGCCGAGGTGCCACTGGGTATATACAGGTGCACGATTCCACACCAATCCTCATGGATCGTGGACAGGAGCAAACCTGGCTACAGCTGTATGTGGAGACAGATGCAGGAGCAGGCACTGACCTGATGTACTCATGGAGATCTCTGCCCTTACCACTATTTTGCTCCCAAACTTTTGGGGGCTCCAGGGGGTGCAGAGCCCTTTTTTCTATTCTGTCCCTCAAATCCTCATCAGTGTGTGATTCTTGAGGAGCTCATTGTAATCTTCTGACTGGCTTCTACCTCCCCCAACTCCTTCCTCCCTTGTCCGCTTACCCAGCATCTCTGAAGTACTGTTTTGCCCTTTATTAGTCCCAGCTGTCAGGACCTTATCATTGATTTCCTTGTAGGGGAACACTGAGAAGAGAGAGCTCTTCCTGTCTTGGAAAAACTCCTTGGAGTCCTCTGGTCAGTGGAACCAGGTGACACTCTGGCCACAGGTGCTAAGGAAACAGAGGACAGTTTGAGGGCAGGCCTCCATGGCCAGAGCAGCTCTGCCAAAGCCAGCAGTCTTCTCCCGCCAACCCTGCACTGCCAGGCCCTATGGTTCCAGCCCCACTTGTCCTTGGCACCACCTGGGTGGAAGGCAATTTGCTGCCTGGGCTGTTGCAGGGCTTTGCTTCTGGTATTTAGCCTACCCTGACCAGGAGGGCCTCCTCTATCTCCACTGAGGCTGTCAGGGATGCCCAGCTCTGTGCCAGGAACTCCCAGAGCAGAGGTGACAGGCTGACTTAGCCGTGACCCTCCAAGCCCCTCACAGGCCAGCACTGTGTCAGCCTGATATTCAGCATGGGACTATGCCACAAATAGGCCAAGCCAACAAGAAGAGCTAGGGTAGTACTGGGAGGCCCCTTGGGGAGTGAGGGCTGGTACAAGCATTTGGCGAGGGGTGGGGGTGGGTGTGCTGTTGTCAGGGTGTAGGGACCTGAACTGGAGTCCAACTCAGCTGGGTCTCCTACTCCAACACTGCTGCTTTGTCTCCTGCAAGACTGTAGACTGAGCCTGTTTGTGTATCTGTAAAATGGGGATAATGAGACCATCTTCCTGAGTTGTGTGTTAAATGAGATATGGATATCAAAGTGCTGGAGATGTTAGGTATGATGATGAGAAAGAATGATAATAATCATGGAACATTTCCTATCTCCTACCTGGACTGGACTCTGGACTCACCCAGAGTCTTGGAAGGGGTGGTTCCCTGAGGAAGGCTGGGGGTGGAGAACACAGCTGTAGCTGCTTATCTTAACAGGCCTCCTTGACCCCAGATGATCCTGGGTGTTGCTGATGGTGGTGGGTTCAGTTCTTGGGCAGGGGGCGAGGTAATGGGAGGGATTTGGAACAGGCTGGAAATGAAGCTCAAGAAAGCCATGGCCAGGACACCCAGAGAGTAGGGCTTGGGGAATAGAGGGCCTCCTAGCTGGCTGTGACCTGGAGCAAATGTGCCAGCCCTTCTATGCTTCTCTTGCCATTTCTGGATCACAAGAACTAGATGTGGCTGCCTGGTGGAGGTGAGGCAGCAGGAACCCTGGAAACCTGATGCCAGCACCCTCCTAACCCCATTTCTCTGTTTCTTTGCCCTGTTGCGTTTCAGAAACTGAGGCCAAAAAAGCATGTGGGTGGCTCCGGGCAACAGGATTCCCTCAGTATGCTCAGCTGTTTGAAGGTAAGGTCACTCAATTGCTTGCAGTCCTCAATTCCCCAACTTTCCCTACCCCTCAGTTTTTCATCTATAAAATGGGGGCAGATCTCTTCAACTACACACGAGAAGCCATGTCTCCATCCCCGCTTAGATACTTCAGGATTTTGCTCCTGAAGTTGCAGCCTTTCCTGTGTCATTGTCTTTCACAAGCAGTGGTGTTGCCCATGTGTTAAAGTGCCTTGTCTTGACCAGGGTCATTGCACAGTACCACTCCTGAAGGCACCGTTTATGTAGATCGTGATAGTAGTGTGAGGGATGCCAGCTGGAGTTCCCCATGGTAATGGCCTCATTTTTCTGTTTTTCTTCATTTCTCTCATTTTTCTGTTTTTCTAGAGTTCTTCATACTTACTTTTTTCACATCCCCTCTTCTTCCCACTCCTCCACTGTTCCCTAGTATCAATCCCACCTTACCTTGTCAACTCACAGTGACCACCATGTGGTCAGATTCAGTAGTCACTTCCCAGTCCTCATCTTACTCCATCTCTCAACAGCTTCAGTGCAATTGGCCATTTTTTCCCTTGGCTTCTAGAACACCCCCTCTCCTGGCTGCCTCTCTGGCTGCTGCTGTCAGTTTCCTTAGCTGACTCTGCTTCCTTTAACTGATATCTAAATGTTAGGGTGTCCCACGACTCAGTCCTGGACTGTCTTCTCACTCAACATTTCATTCCCATGTGGTCTTTGTCCAAGTACCATCTATATTCCCACATGTCTCTGTCTAGACCTCATATACAAGCTCCAGATTCATCTATTCAGCCATCTACTCAGTATCTCTACTCAGATGTCTGGTGGTGTCTCAGATTAGCAGGTCTAAACCCTGACTCCTGATGACACCACCATCCTCCACCCACTTGCTTAAGCAAGTCCTTAGTACCTCTTTTCCCTTGTCTTCCATCTCTAACCCTTCAAGTCCTTTCTTCCCTACCACCTCCCCTGCCACAGCTTGGTGTGACCCATCATCCCTGTTTACCTGGACTGATGCACCAGCCTCCTTCCTGACCTCTGTGCTTCCACTTTTGCCCTCCTGTACTTTCATCTCTACACCACAGCTAGAGGCTCCTGATGACCGTAGGTCTGACTGTGCCACTTCTCTGCTCCAAACCCTATGATGGCTTCCCAGCATGCTCAGGATGAAATGAGCCCAAATGCTCAACTCAGGCTGACAGGACTGCATTCTTCAACTTGCATTGATCACTCTTCCTTTGCTCACGGGGCCACTCCCTACTATTTGCTCTCACCAAGCTCTCTCCCTCTCTGAAGCCTTGATGTTGATGTTACTCTTGCTTGGAACTCTCTTGCTAGTTTCTTTGCACAGCTGGCCACTTCTCATCTTTCAAGACTCTCAGCTCAGATATCACCACCTCTGAAAAGGCTCTGCTGACCACCCCATACAAGTAGCCCACACCCCCACTGGCCTCTCTCCATCCCATCATCCCAGCTGATGTCTTTTGTGGCGTTTAGAACTGCTTTGTCTTGGTTTCATGTATTGCTTGGTTTCTGTTTCCTATGAGAGTGGAAACTTCATTAAAGCGGAAGCCATTTTTGTCTTGCTCGCTGTTGTCTTGTCTGGCACAAAGTAGTTGCTCAATTAGTATTAATCGAATGAGCAAATGAATGAATGGACTTGTTTTACCAAATTCTCTCTCTCCTCCCTACTTCTTTCTTTCTCCTCTTCCCTCTCTAAGTTCTAGGAAGTGAGTTACATGCTGTCTCTTCTTTCCCTGCTCCCTCCCTACCTCCCCCAGCTCACCTTGGGCCAGAGAGAGGTTTCCCTGTCTGAGCAGCCTAGGATTCAAAGGAGACCGGGGGAGCCCAGGTTGGCTCTTGGCAGCCACCCAGGGTTTTGGGCCTGCCATCCCACATGGACCCACCTCACTGACCAATGAGGTTTTTGGTTCAGTTTGACCTGGCCTCTCCCAGGCCTTTGCCCTGAGCTCCCTGGGTGCCCCCTTCTTTACTTCTGCCTTTTGTCTTTCTGTGTTGGCTCTTGCCTTCTTGCTCTGTCTCCTCTGGACTCCCCTTCCAGCTCAAGGGCTGCTGGGGCTAAGTTCTGATCTTCTGCTGGACTCATCTTTGCTTCTCTCTGTCACACAGAAGGTTCGTTCCCCCTGGATATTGACTCTGTGAAGAAGGACCACGGTTTTCTGGACGAGGACTCTTTGGGGGCTCTGTGCAGGTAGGGGAGCTGAGGGCCAGGTCTAGGTAGCCAAGGGCCCAGCCTGGGGCTTCCTCATGGAAAAAACCCATCCCTTGTACCCTCTAACAGAGGAGAAGCCCTGTTTATTAACAAAGCTCATCTTTTGCAATCATGTTTTTCATTCTATTCTCTGAGTCTGTGACATGCTCACTCACCCAGTCATTCTAGCTAGAAGGCCGAGATCTGGGCCTTGATTCTTTTGTCCTTAAGTTCTATCCCCCAAACATCAGCCTCTGTCTGCTTATACCAGCTCAGCCCTTGTTTGAGGCCAAACTATGGCTTCTCTTTGGATCTATTACAAGGCTTCAGTCTAACTGGTTTCAGTCTCAATAGCCCACCTTCCCCCAGCCCCAGAGCCATCCTCTCAACAGTCGCCAGAGTCAGCTTTGTAAAGTTCCAAGGGATTGCGCCTCTGCTTAGAGTTTGTCACTGTCTACAGTGGAAAGGTTTTTTAGCATGACACTTGAGGCCCTTTGCAATCTGGCTTTTGATCTACCTCATTAGCCTCGGTTCCACACTTTCATGACCACACTGGTCTGTTTACTGACCATTTCCCTCTCTACCTTGTCACAGTCTTCTGTGAAAGCCTGGGGTAGGAGTACCTATTTCTCTCGCCTTCAGAATCCCATTTCTGTCCTCCAGGAAGCCTTTTCTGACTGCACATCCTCCCCTTCACAGAAGTTTCTTGTTTCACCCTGTGTGTCTTCTGTGTCTTCCATCTGTTTGGTTCTTGAACACGCCCCATTTCTGTTGTGATTTATTTCCATTTCTATAAGTTTCTGGAGGACAGAGGCCATAATCTTCCCAGCATCATGTCTGGTGTTTAAACTTTAATGAACATTGGGGCTTGGGAGAAGTTTTGATAGCTTGGGCATATTAAGTGGTGGAAGTGTCTTCAAAGGCTATGCCAGGTTTTGGGAATTGGTACCCTTGAGTGAATACTTTCATTTTGTTGCAGGAGGCTGATGACTTTGAACAACTGTGCCTCGATGAAACTGGAGGTTCATTTTCAACGCAAGGAGGTGAGTCATAGTGGGTAGAGTTTCATCTTGAGGCACTGTGAGGAAACCCAGAATACATGCAAACCGCTTGCAAAACTAGTGCCAATGTCCCAGGAGTCTGAGGTGTCCAGAGCTGTGCCTTGCTCCAGCTAGAGTGGGAAGGAGGGATGGATGGAGATGGAGGTGCTCATGAGGCTACTGGATCTGGAGGATGACAGCAAGTGCCCTGGCCCATGGGCCCCCCCACACCCTCAGCCCACCACTCCCTCCTGGGGCTACTGATAACTTGACCTAGTGATGGCCTCTCCTCAGGAAATCCATCTTCCTGTACTGCTTGCTTTGTATGGCTAAACTTCTTTGGATGGGGGCAGAAACAGAATAATGTAGAAAGATCATGACCTCTCTACTCTTAGAGGCTGGGATCCCCACCTTACCCCCATGAGGCCTTACCCCTCTGAGCCTCATTTTCTCCATTTCTACAATGAATTGGGGCACTGGATTAATAGCCTCAAAGATCTTTTCGACTCTGCCAATCTGATACTGCAGAAACTAAAAGGATTTTGGTCTATACATAGCTCTGGAACGCAGGCCTACTGACCCCGTCCTTTCCTGTAGACAAACTTTGTTGATGTTCTCTGGGGCTTTCACCACCAGAGGTCTGCAGTCCGAGGGGGCAGCAAGTTGCCAAAGCCCTGGGCTGTGAAGCAGGAGACCCATGGGACCTGATCCTAGCTCTGCCATTGACTGTTAAGTGACCTCAGGCAAGCCTCTTCACTTCTCTGGCTCTCAGTTTCCCCACCTTGCAAAGGAGGAGATGAATTAGGAAATCTAAAATCTCCTCTAGCTTTGGTATTCTGTGATTCTAATCCAAGATTGTAGCCTAGAGACTTGAGAGGCTCTGTCACTGTCTTGGGCAAGTGGCTTCTCGTTTGTAGGTCTCAGTTTCACTATCTGTACAATGGGGGATAGATTAATTAGGTTAACATTACCCTATATCTGGGCTCTGTTGGTGACTTCTGGCATCCTCCAGCACTCCCAGAGCCAGCTCCTCCCTCCTAGGCCATGAACTCAACCAGAAAGCAGGGTCCTTCACCTCAAAGTCCCTTAAGAATTGGGAGGCAGAGTGGAGCACAAACAAGGACTTCTGGGCTGTGCTTCTCTGACCTGACCCTGTGATACCTTCCTCAGAATGAAGACTCAGAAGAGGAAGAACAGTGTACCATCAGCAGCCACTGGGCCTTCCAGCGGGAAAGTAAGCGCTGGTCTCGTTTGGGGTGTTCTGACCTGCTGGCCCCACCAAGCCTTGGCCTGCCAGTGACTTCAAGCTGTGAGAGTGTCCTCACAGAGCTTAGTGCCACCTCCCTGCCAGTCATCACTGTGAACCTACCGGCCGAGCCAGCAAACCTACCCTTGCTAAGCCGGGCCCCCAGCCCAAGTGACCGGCCCCTTCTCAGCCTCATCCAGGACCAGGAGAGTCCCCAGGACAAAGCCAAGAAGCATTACCGTTCCTGTAGCTTCCTCAAGCACCTTGAGTCTCTGAGGCGGAAGGAAAAGGGTGGTAGCCAGCAAGCAGAGCCTGAGCATAGCCTAGCCACCTCAGAGAAGGCCACCAAAGCCTCATCTTTCCGCAGTTGCCGTGGCTTCCTCTCGGCCGGATTTTACAGGGCTAAGAACCGAGTACCCACCTCAGCCAGTGGTAGTGGTACTGAGACTCGGAAGGCCTGGGAGGCCTGGCCTGTAGCCACATTCCGGCATCCTCAGAGGGTACACCGGGGTGATTGCCTGGTGCATGTGCCTGGAGACCACAAACCAGGCACATTCCCTCGTTCCCTGTCCATTGAGAGCCTGTGTTCTGAGGATGGACACCGTCTGGCAGATTGGCAGCCAGGTAGGCGCTGGGGCTATGAGGGGCGCCGGGGTTCCTGTGGCTCAACAGATAGCCATGCCAGCACCTATGACAACTTTCCTGAGCTATACCCAGCTGAACCTGTACTGTCTGGGACTGAGACTGAAAATGAAGATGAGGAAGAGGGTGGAGGCAGCTATGCCCACCTAGATGACATTCTCCAGCATGTGTGGGGGCTGCAGCAACGGGTAGAGCTCTGGTCTCAGACCATATACCCAGACCTGGGACCTGGAGATAAGGAAGAGGAAGAAGATGAAGAAGAGGAGGCGGCCACTTCATCAGTAGAAATAGCCACAGTTGAGGTTGAAGGCCAAGCTGAGGCTTTGGCCCAGGCAGAGGCTCTGGCCCATGGAGAGTCCCCAGCATGGGTCCAGGCTGAAGCCCAGCCAGTAGTCCTGGCTCAGGCTCAGGCTCCAGCTGAGGCTGAACTGTTGGCACAGGCAGAGGCTGAGGCCCCAGCCCAAGTCCAGGACAGTGAGCAGGAGGCACATTCAGGTGGGGAACCCACCTCTGCCTTCAGCCTGTCTGTGGAAGGACATTCCATTTCTGACACTGTCGCTTCCTCCAGCGAACTTGACAGTAGTGGGAACTCCATGAATGAGGCTGAGGCTGCAGGGTCTCTGGCTGGACTCCAGGCATCCATGCCCCGGGAACGGCGTGATTCTGGTGTTGGGGCCTCACTTACCAGACCCTGCAGGTGAGAGTTCAGGTGGGGACAGGGACCAGGGACTCCTCTCGTGTGCTCTCTCTCTCTCTCGCTCGCTCTGTCTCTCTCTCTAAGCTTTTGGAGGCTGGGTGATCACTTCTAGGCAGAGTACAGGACTTGGGAATTCACAACGTTATATTCAGGACCTGCCTCTGCTGTGGCCTTGAAGAAATTACAACTTTTCTTTGGGCCTCCGTCTCTTTATGTGTAAAGTGGGGGTGTTAGAAGAGATGGTCTCTGTCTCAGATCCCTAGCTTTGCCATTCAGGGTTTCATGCAGCAGTTCCTGCATGGTAGTCTTGGAATGGGTAGCGGCTGGTACTGTTTGTTGGCACTAGATGGACCTGGGTTCTGTGCCACCTTCCCTGAGAGCTTCTTGGCCCCTGGCCAGACCTTGATGCTGAGACCAAGCCTTTTCCACCATGGGGCATAGCAGTAGCACTGAAAGTGGGGTCATCTCCCTGTATTTTCTTTCTTTTTGGGGAAAAAAAGGGACCAGAAGAGCACACAACCTTTTCTAAGATTTAGCCAAACCTGCCCCTCTGGCTTTTTCCACCCCTGTCACCTCCCACCAGAAAGCTCCGCTGGCACAGTTTTCAGAACTCCCACCGGCCCAGCCTCAACTCGGAGTCACTGGAGATTAACCGGCAGTTTGCAGGCCAGATCAACCTCTTGCACAAGGGCTCACTGCTGCGGCTCACTGCCTTCATGGAGAAGTACACTGTGCCCCACAAGCAGGGCTGGGTGTGGTGAGTGGCTTCTGGGCCGGCTGGGTGTGGTGGGTGGCTCCTGGGCCACAGTGGGTGGGGAGCTACCAACTTGGGTCCAGGGGCCCCAGGAGAATCAACCCGGGAGGTGAGTGCATGTGGGCAAAGCCCATAGGCTTGGGAAATGGTGTGATATGCCAGGGGGCTGGAGGGGTCTCATGAGGATGGGTGTGGGGAAGGTGACCCGAGGTCCTCCGTCCCAACTTCCATACTGCCACCAGTGAGACTCTTCCTCAAATGCATTTTGTTGTCACTCTCCAGATAAAGAGACACCCCCTGTGACTCCCCATTGTCCAGATTCCTTTCCATCAGGATTCTTTCCTGTTCTGGTCTCACTCCATCCTTCTGGCTCTTTAGTCTGCCACTCCTAAGCAATGCCATCTTTTAAAAATTATTATTTTAAAGATGTGGGGTACAATTCAGGGTTAGGTATACAAATGTTCATTATGCAGGTACCCTTGTTGATGAGGTGCTCCCCTCCCTCCCCTGGCAGTTTCCCTCAGCTGCCAATCCCACCCCCCGCCCGGCAGTTTCCCACTACTGCCAATTCCTTTCTTATCGTATTATGATAATTGTTCAAGGTCCGCTTATGAGTGAGAACATATGGTACTCTGTCCTTTGTTTCTGTGAAAGATAGATGACTGAGTATGATAGACTCTAAATCCATCCAAGTTGCTGTGAAGTCCATATGGCTGCATGATATTCCATTGTGTATATGTACTTTTTTTTTATCCAGTTCAGCTTCGATAGAGAGCATGGTTGGTTCCATGTTTTAAGCAATGCCATCTTATAGGCCTGTGGGACTAGTCACCCCTTCCTGAATGTGCCATGCTCTTTTCCCTGCCTTTGTTCATGCTGTTCTCTCTGCTTGGAATGCCTTTTTCCCATTTCTTCTCTGGGACGATGGCTTCCTGTCCCTGAAGAGCCTGCTGAATCACCATCTCCTTTCTGAAGCCTTCCTTGACCCGCTAGGTACAGTTTCCCTCCCTCCTGGGTCTTTCCCTAAGTTCTTGGCCTACTAATGGCCACATGAGTTATCACTGCCTATTGACATAGTTATTTCCTTGACCAGATTGAGAGCTCTCTGTGTTCTTCTGTAACTCCCTCGGGTTGGGCCCAAAACAGGTGTTCAGTGAGTGTTGACTCTCGGGCTGTGGTGTGTTCCTTACCCTCCTTGCCCCCACCTGATCCTTCCCAAAACTGCAGAGTCTTTACACTGTGCTCCCCCTCCCTGATCATTTGTCATTCTCCCAAATAGGTCAGTGCCTAAGTTCATGAGGAGGAACAAGACCCCAGACTACCGGGGACAGCATGTGTTTGGGGTGCCACCCCTCATCCATGTGCAGCGCACAGGCCAGCCACTGCCACAGAGCATTCAGCAAGCCATGCGCTACTTGCGCAGCCAGTGCCTCGACCAGGTGAGCCCTCCCTGGGAGACCTGCTGGGAGATGGTGCTGGGAGTGGCCAGGGGAGGCCTAAGGCTGAGGAGCTGGGAGGGGAACTGCTCTGGCCTTCCCCTTTCATCCTCTCTCTGGTTGGGCTGGTCCACCAGAGACCTTTCCTCTTTCAGCAGGGCCTAGCAAGGATGGAGCCAGAGCTCCTTTCTATTCCTTAGGGCCAAAGCCGTCTGCCCACCTCTGTGCCAGCTTCTTTCTGGCACAAACTCCATAGTCCCCATCTTTTAGGAGTATGCTTAGCCCAGGTCTACCTGGACCTGCTCCTCTCAACGAAAGCCATCTTTCTTTTTTGCCCCAAGGCTATAAAAATCCTTCCCTTTGATCCTGCCATTTGTCTCCTATCCTGCCCAGCAGGAAGCCTGACAGGCTTTGAAGTCTCTGGGGTGGCCTGTGCTCCTGACACCCAGGCCAGGACTGGCCTCCTCACAGTCTCCTTCCTACTCTCGCATGTCTCCTTCCCACCTTCCCTCCCCTGCATGGACCAGGTGGGCATCTTCCGCAAGTCTGGGGTCAAGTCCAGGATCCAGAACCTGCGCCAAATGAATGAGACCTCTCCTGACAATGTCTGCTATGAGGGCCAGTCGGCCTATGATGTGGCTGACCTGCTGAAGCAGTATTTCCGGGACCTGCCCGAGCCCATCTTCACCAGCAAGCTCACCACCACTTTCCTGCAGATCTACCAGTGTGAGTTGTCTGCTTCTATCCCCAATGACCTGCCCCTTTCTCAGCCTCCCTAAATCCCAGGACATGTGGAAGATAATGTGGACAAATGTCACTGGACCCATGTGCTTGCTGGAGCATTTAATCTCTGGAGGTGGAAAAGTCCTTGGAGAGAGACCACATTCTGCTCCCCCAAAACTATTATATGGAAGGGTAGACTGAGTCCCTGAGGAAAGGAAGGGACCTGCCTAAGGTTACACTGTATGGTTAGTAACTGAGCTAGATCTAGCATCCAGAGACCTCCCAGAGCTGACCTCCCTTCCTTCCCATTGGCTTCCCTTGGGACTGCTGCACCTTCTGCATTTTTGGAAGCAGGGACCTTACTGCCAGAGTCTCTGGGGAAGTAAGGAAAGCCCTTCTGCTTCCTCACAGTCCTTCCCAAGGATCAGTGGTTGGCAGCAGTGCAAGCCGCCACCTTGCTGCTCCCTGATGAAAACCGAGAGGTGCTACAGACCCTGCTCTATTTCCTAAGTGACATTGCCTCTGCCAAGGAGAACCAGATGACAGCTGGCAACCTGGCAGTGTGCCTGGCGCCCTCCATCTTCCACCTCAACGTCTCCAAGAAGGATAACCCTTCACCCAGGTGAAACAGGACAGAGCATGTCAGGGCCAGACCAGAAGGATTTGGGCCCCATTGATCTTTTGGCCTTTGATGGCTGGCTCTGCTGTGTCCCAGCCTCACCACAAGGGGTCAGCCCAACTCCCCAGGGACCCAGGGCTGGTGGGATGCTGTGGAACAGGGCCTTCCAAAAGGCAGCAGGTTGTTTTGTGGTCACGACTGGCAAACTGGCCTCCCGGGAGCTGGAAGCCAGTATGTCAGCCATCTTGTCTTGTGTCCTTGTGCTATCCTCTCCTCTTGTTACTCCATCCAGGATCAAGAGCAAACGTAACCTAGTTGGCCGGCCAGGCCCCAGGGACCTGAGTGAGAACATGGCTGCCACCCAGGGCTTATCACACATGATCAGTGACTGCAAGAAGCTTTTTCAGGTGAGTAACCCCAGGCCATGGTGCCTACTTACCAGACCAGGAAACCATCAGGCTTGACTTTGGTGCCCTAGGTCAGGTACAGGACCCAATTTAACACATACCCCTTAACCTTCTACCTCCAACTCTTCCCCATGAGGTTTCTCATCTATAGTGCTACAGTAGCCATGCCTCTCCACTGCCCTTAACATGAACCTGCAAGACCCCATGGGATTTCCTGTTTGCCAGGATCCCCAGCCCAGTGTGCATGTATGTGTGTGTGTGTGTGTGCGCCCCCTCAGGTGCCCCAGGACATGGTGCTTCAGCTGTGCAGCTCCTACAGCGCAGCTGAGCTCAGCGCTCCTGGCCCAGCCCTGGCTGAGCTGAGGCAGGCCCGAGCTGCTGGAGTGAGCTTGAGCCTCTACATGGAAGAGAGCATCCAGGAGCTGCTGCGTGATGCTGCTGAGCGCTTCAAGGGCTGGATGAGCGTGCCAGGGCCCCAGCACACGGAGCTGGCTTGCAGGAAGGTGAGAGCCACACCACCCATGGCTGCCATGGGCCTGTGAGACTGCCTGGCACAGGCAAGGGGAGTCAAGAAACCCAAAGGAAGGAGCCGGGAAGCAGCTGCCCTGCCAGTTTTGTTGTGCCTCTGCCTGATACTTGGAGAGTGGCAGCTGACTGAGCAAGTACTTTAAGAAGTCAAAAAACCACAAGATCAAGGGCACTCTCTCAGGGACCACCTGCTGGAATGACTTTTCCAAATCCCTGTTCCAGATGTGGCACTGCTTTGACCCAGCACTGCAGTCAAGCTGAATACTTGCATGTCCACCTCTGTGCTTCTGCTCATGCTGTCCTGCCTGGACTGTCCTGGCCCCAAGCATTGCATTTCCCAAGCTACCTTCAGCTCCAATGGAACATGGGAACATGTCATTCCTCCTTTCAGAGCTTTCTGTCATGTCCCAAGCTGGAGGGGACTTTTCTCTGTTCCCCTCTGGGCACTGGACGTTCTCTTTCTTGGATGGAGGTTCTGAGTAAGATTGCAAACCTAAGTGTCCCATGTATAAAACACAACAACAACAACAACAGTCATAACAAAAACTGTGAGAAGCCCACACAGTGCCCGGCACATACAAAAGGCTCTGTAAATGGCAGCTTTTGTTGTCACGTATGTATTTTACTTCCTACGCTAGATGGTAAGTTGCTTGAGGTTGATCACCATCTTCTCTTTCTGCAATTCCAAGTACTATGCCCATTTCTTGGTAGGGCCTAAGAGGTTTCCGAGAATATGTGTCCCATCATTTCTTTGTGCTCTCAAGCAGGTTTAGAAGTGGATATCCAGAAAGGAGAGAAAGGACAGGGAGCACAGGGATAGCCCTGTCTGGGTCTGGCCAGGGTTAGCAGAGGAGCCCGTAGCCTCCCCTTGTCAGGGGCTGTAGTGAAGGGAGCTTTAGGTCCTGCAGTTTGAGGCCTGCACTCAGAGGTGAATTGGAGTTCTCCATCCCTGACAGTAGCCCCTGTCCCCACCCGCATGGCTTGCAGGCACCGGATGGACACCCTCTGCGGATGTGGAAGGCATCCACAGAGGTGGCGGCCCCCCCAGCTGTGGTGCTGCATCGTGTTCTACGGGAGCGGGCCCTTTGGGATGAGGATCTGCTGCGGGCCCAGGTGCTAGAAGCCCTGATGCCTGGTGTGGAGCTATATCACTACGTCATCGACAGCATGGCACCTCATCCCTGCCGTGACTTCGTGGTTCTCCGGTAAGGGGCTATAGCTGCTACCCTTCTGTGCTTGGGGTACCAGAGAGGTGGGGTGGGAACCAGCACTAGAAATTTGTGTGTCCCTTTCCCACAGGATGTGGCGCTCTGACCTGCCTCGTGGGGGATGCCTGCTTGTCTCCCAGTCCCTGGATCCTGAACAGCCTGTGCCAGAGTCGGGTGTGCGGGCCCTCATGCTTACGTCCCAGTACCTCATGGAGCCCTGTGGCCTGGGTCGCTCTCGGTTGACCCACATCTGTCGTGCTGACCTCAGGTACCAGGCCTAGAACAGTCTGCCCCACCTTGGTCCTGACTCCTTCCCCTACCCCTGCCCCTACTTTCTGCTCCATGCTGTTGATCCCTGGAGCTGGAGGCAAATCCTATCTTCTCTTTCCCTGGTGAGGGCTCCAGAAAAAAACCCACCGCTCATGCCTGGCTTCTTCTATTTCCCCAGGGGCCGTTCACCTGACTGGTACAACAAAGTTTTTGGGCACCTGTGTGCCATGGAAGTGGCAAAGATTCGGGACTCCTTCCCCACCCTGCAGGCAGTTGGCCCTGAAACAAAGCTATGAGCCTTGGACTGGTCGCAGGGTAGTACCACCCAAACCCCCTGGAACTAAGGGAGTGAGAGAGAATAAGACCAGAGCAGACCCTGGATGCTGCTGTCAGGGACAGAGCCAGGCCCAGATGGCTCCAGCTGCCTGTTCTTTTCCCCTTCCTCTGCACATAGAGGAGGGAAAAAGAATTTAGGCATCCCATCTCCACTCCCCTCCCACCCCCAGCTCTGTATTCTACTATCCCAAGAGAAGAGAATCATGTTAGTAGCAAGAAGACTGCTGCAGTCCTCCACCTGCCCTGAAGCCGCCACTCAGGCTGAAGCCTTCACAGCTCCTCACCTGCAGGGGAAAGGCTGAGAGTGCGTGGTCCCAGCTCTCTGACAGACTGAGAGGCCAAGCCAACTTGTTTGGTGCTAGGGTGTTTTCAAACGTGGACAGGACAGGTTCTGCGGTCCTGCCTTACGGCCAATGCTGGCCTGAAGTGGCTTTTCCAGGGAAATTGGACTGGAGCAAATGGGCACAGGGGCAGAGCACAAGATAGCCCCAACCACCATGAGCTATTTTATTTGTGTAAATACGATGCTGATTTTTATGAGGCTGATTTAGAGTGAGCACTGGTGGGCTCCTAATAGGCTACATGACAATTTGGTATAGCTTGGGATATGAGAGTGGAGAACTTTCCTTTCTCAAGTCTCAAGGCACCAATGAACCAGTCTCCTTTGACTTGGGCTTCATGCTTCATCTGCCAGCCCCTGGGGCCTCATATAGCCTTTGGCCATACACTGCCACTGCCCAGGCCAAGCAAAAGTACAGAGTGGCGAGGAGACACGTGTCTGTATCCTCGTCCCTTTTGCCTGTGGTAGTGGGCTAACATAATAGCACCTTCCTTGAGTAGAGACCTGGCCTATGAGCCAGCCAATGGAAAGGCCCATCTTTAACTAGGTGGGACTTGAGTCAAGCCTGATCTATGCCACTCATTGGTCATCTTTGTTCATACAGAGATTCAAATGCCAACTGGTGCTTTATTTTTCTGTCTACTGCATAAACTGAAGTAGGATGGACCCTAGCCACCATTGTAATTTTAAAGCCTATTTTACTTATATCTGTAAATACTGTACAGTCAGAATATATATGTGTGTGTATACACACACACACACACACAATCTCTCATGAGAGTCTTGTAATTTCTGGGAGTAGGTAGAGCTCTTCAGATGAGACAGGAGAGAGTGGGGAGCCAGGTACAGCAGGATCTCTCAGCAGAACAATAAATCATTACTAGAGATGCACTTTGGCTGTGTGACCGTCTTTTTGCTGAGACAATGGGCTAGGGACTGGGATCAGGGGTTGCAATTGATGCTCAGTGTTAGGGCTCAGAGGTTGTGAGAGTTCACTTCATCCTCTCCTGACCTCAGTTTACTGGCTTCAGGACTTGGGTGAGGATACAGGAGGAATGGGGAGAGCCTCAGCTCTTCTCTTTGGAGGGTGATTTGTGGGGACAGGGATTGGAATTCAGAGAAACCAAGGCTTGGGCAGAAGCTGCAAACCCCATCTCCTGACCTGGCCACAAGCATGACTTCAGTCATCCTAGGAAGATACGAACCTGGCTAAGCATGCCTTCCTTTCCCTTCTAAACACGGGGGATGCCAAGGATGAAGAGGCTTGGGGGCCCTGTGCCACCAATAAGCCAACCTAAGAGAGATCTGAGTGTATTGAGGAAGCCTCTGGTCTGGCTTCAGTGACCAGCAAAGTCCAGGGGGCTAGAAGTCCCCCTCATCTTGACTTTCCCAAAGGAAAGCCCTTTCCTTTGCCCTGTTGCTGTGGCCATAAAATTCCCAGGCTCTGAGGAGCAGCTAGAAAGTACAGGCTTTGGAATTCAATCTGAATTTGCATCCCTGAAGTGCTGTCAGTAGCCTGGGCAAGCAACTCCTGCTGCCTCTGAACCTCAGCCTCCTCATGGTCAAGCGAGACTAGTCATGCCTCGTGACAGTCCTTGGCTCAGTAATGGCTCAGGTCAGCCCACCCATCTGCACCCTGACCCAGCCTGAACAAATTGGGGTGCCTGCCAAGTTCCACTACTCTGTCACCTTGTGTTCTTTCCTTCTGGGTTCAGTCGTCCTTACATGCCTCGGCCTTTCCTTACTCCTGCTGCCTGGGGGTCTTGGCTAGCCCTGGAAGTGAAGGAAGTAGTGCAGAGGACCAGTCAGCCCCTTGCCTTTGGGAAGACTACATGGAAGCCCCTCATGTGGTGTGGACTGGGAGGTCACTTCAGTAGCGCCTGGCTTAAGGGACACCTGTGTGACACTCTGGCCAGTCTTTTGTGAGGAAAGCATCAAGGGGGCTTTTTGGCCCAGGTACTGCCCACTTCTTGTGGAAGGAAGCTGTGGGGATGGTGCAGAGGATGGGTCTCAGCATGTTCTTAATGGGAAGTATGAAAATGATCCCCGGGTGATGACCTCTAGCAGACAGATAAAGAGGAGGGAGGCTCTTGGAACGACAGGAACATTTCCCCAGACTTGCAGCTGTGGACTCTGCTGCCCCTGACCAGCTGCCCAGTGCCTGGCATCCTGGGAGGAGTAGCTCCAAGTAGGAGAGCTTCTCTGGACTTCAGTATCCCCTTGTGTAAAGCTAGGCTCACATCCCTGGTCCCTGCCTACCCCACCGTGTAGTCCATGAGAGGGCTGCCATGCATCTAGATGTGGGGTGGGTATCATGATGAGGGTGTCCGGGCCCATCATTCCCACACACGTTGCAAGCATTGCCTGTGGCCATTTCTAGTCCTCAGTCTCATACCTCTACCCATCCCGAATATGTATCCTCATTTCCTTGGTGCCAGAGAACGTACCTTCAAGTTCTCGGCCCAACTTCCCATACTCTCTTCTCTTGTGCTTTCCCTGACCCAGGGTCTCAAAGAAACCAGGCTGTAGGGGAATTCTGCAGAGAAATCAGACAATCTATCTGTGAGTTTTGATTATTATTTTCTAGTCTCCAGTACCCTGTTACCAGAATGGCTGAGGGTAGATGTTAGTCAGACCCAGGCTCAAATCCAGCTATATCATTCCCTGGCTGTGTGACCTTAAGTGGCACATTTAACCTTTCTGATTACTTTTTCCTCCTGAAGAATAAGGTTAAGAATCACTTTTATCTTGTAAGGTGGTTGTCAGGGCTAAATGAGCCAATAGTTGTGAATGTGGTTGCACAGTACCTAGCACGTAGCAACCATAAAAAATATGGTCGTCTCCCCTGCCCTGCCTCTTTCTTGCCAGTCAGACTCCATGGGGGAGAGCTTCGGCCCTTACCTGGAATCTCCAGCTACAAGAGGGAGAGGAGCTGCCGGGGACTCTTCTGCCCATTGTCAGTGAAGACAATGAAAAAGAAGTGCTTTGCAAGGGCTACCTCATGGGAGAAGTCACCGTGCAAATGGGCCCCAGTGGAGCAAGTGGATTAAAACATGCTGGTGTAGGCAAAGATGATGGCAATGATGTTCTAGAGATTAGCACCTATAGTGACAAAGCTTCTGACCTTCCTGAAGGCCTGAGAGTGTGGAGATGGGCAGGGGAATGTCCAATGTAGTCTGTCATGGAGGTGCACAGGGGACAGGGTTGAGGCTAGGAGATCCAAGAAACCTCAAGAGCTTATGCCACTCACCCACTGATGGGGAGGAGTCAGCAGGCAGAGCCCTCAGCAGGGCAAGTGAGTGGGTGACATGCAGAGATGGATATAGGAACTCCATTGCATGAAGCTGCAGCCAACAGGAAAAAAGTTTCATAAAATGACTTGGGGCTGGCAACTAATGTAATGCTTTCTAGGTAGACAGCCACTTGCCTTGTGAGCCAATCAGTAGCAGAGTCTGAATTTTAGCTACCAGGTACCAAGGAAGGAACCAGAGCAACACCTTCCCCTTCATCAAGGGCTGGGTGAGCTGGCCAGGAAGCTGGCAGCCTGGCTTCTACCCACGATGCCCCACCCTCACACAAGAAGGTAGCAGAGTGGAGTAGTCCTGGGCAGTGGAACTCGCATGTGCATCAAACAGGAGAGGAAAGCAGATGCCATTGTTCCCATCGTAGTTGCCCAAAGGGCCACAACACTAGAAGGATGGTGAAGCCTTGCAGCCAGCTGGCTACCAGTATGGCAGAGGCCTGCAGACGGCATGTATGATAGGCATCAAATGGGCAGACAGTGCTCAGGAACTTCAGGGTCACACAGGTGAGCAGCAAGATGGAGACCATGGCCAGGCTGCCCACAGCCTGACATCAGGTACCAGCTACCTAGTCTTGGGTGTGTTTGTTGTACTTGCTAGCATAGTGCAGTCTGCAAACCTCAATGAGGAAGTAGATGCCATGAGGAAGTTGGCACCTGGGGCAACAGGGCGATAATGGCAACTGGCTTCCCACTGCCCCACCCAGACCTTTCTGGCTCTGTCCTGCCCCAGTGCTCAGATGGAGGGGTCTTGGGCCTATGCACGCATGCGTGCGTGTGTGTATGTGTGTGTGTGTGTGTGTGTGTGTGTGTGTGTGTGTGCGCGCGCTCATGTGCAGGCTGATGACTGACACATCTGGCCCTTTTCCAGCCTCCCAGGGATGCAGAGTTTTGAAATGCAGAAAGTGTGTGCCTGGGTGTCAGGTTGAGCTGGGTTCTGTGATTCTTCACTTCTATGAGCCTCAGTTTTCCCATATGAAAAGGGAGGGGCTTGGCCTGAATTGGTTCTGATGGTTGCTTCCATGTCTCTTTAGCATTTATAAAATTTGCAAAGAAAATAATGATTACTTAAAGAATGTTGGCGTTTGTTTTATTGATGGGATAGTTTAAAACATGGGGTTCCATGGGGAGAGGGCAAAATTCAAAGGGGCCTTTAAGGGTTTATTACATGAAACAACCAGAATTTGTTATCTGGGGCAGTTGAAGGCATTGGAGACAAAAACCCTCCTTTTCAGAAAAATTTTAAAAAATACTTCATAGACAACTATCTTTGCAATCTCCCAGAAATCAGGAATCCCAGTTTAGGACCTACCTTATCAGGAGAATATGGGGCAGTGATTAAGACCATGGGCTCACTGCACTCTAGCCTGGGAGACAGAGTGAGACTCCAACTCAAAAAAAAAAAAATGACCATGGGCTCTGGAGTCAGACTGACTGGACTTAAACTCAGCACCACCATTTACTATCTCTGTGACTCTATGTCATCATCTCAAGGAGTCACGTAGCTAGTAACCCAGGTGGTCATATAACTGGTTACTCAGGCTACCTCATACCTGAGTGTGCTCATAACTCCTCCAATGTGTCTCAAACTTCAGTGAGCA